TGACTCTGGGAGCTTCATCCACTACCAGCCCTTTCCCTACCCCCTCCCATCCAGATGTTGGTTTCCCAGTTTGTTTGAGAATAGCATGCTGTGTCCTGTTGAAGGTGCTTAGCAAAAGATGTTTTCCAGTCTTCTTCAGCTTCCCCAATCACGGAGACCCGGGTAGATGGGACACAGCCAGGCCCATTCTGAAATCCTTGACCCAGGTTCTTGGCTTGTGAGTCACTTCCTATACCCAGGGACTGCTCGTTTGTTTGCCTGGGTGTTTGCTTTGCATTGTGTGCATTCCAGGCATGTGTGTGGGAGGCAGGGCCGAGGGGTGGAGGACAGGGCCCAGAGTTGGTCCCCTCTGGTGTTGACTTGAGGGGCTGAGCAGGCCCACCTCTCTAGAACCAAATGAGTCAGGTAAGAGCTTGGTTCATACCTGGAGGACAAAGCAGGAAAAATGTGCCCGGTAGAGGATGGTGTCGTTGTGTCGTAGCTCAGGGCACATTGGCATCTATACTCCGCTGGCTTGGGTCTACCCTGATGCTGTTTATCCTTTCTGTATCAAGCCCTGTGGCCTCCCAGGGTATGAGGACTGTGACTGAACCAAACCAGGCGACTTCTTCAGCCTTACTGGATCTGAGAGAAGGTAGCTCTCCAGTCCCCGGGGAGTGTCCGTTCTTACAGAAACTCCATTGTTAGACATTGTGTTCAATGTCAAAGTTATAAATCATGAGCAAACCTCAGAAGGAGACTCAGCCCCATGGAGCCCTTGTTTACTCAATGGCTCAGCACACAGTTGCCAAAGTATCTTCAGGGGAACCTCATTTTACCAGGCTCCCCTCCCCCAGAGCTAACAATGGCCCTTTCTTGTCCATCTCATTAAAATCAGCTCCTTGCTGCTTTACAGGGTCTTAGATAACAGGCTTTGCTGGGCTTCTCTCTCTCTCTCTTTTTATTCCACACAATCATAGTTCTAATCCTCCGCTGGGTCTGGCCTTCCTAAGAGGGACTTTGAACTTGCTTGACTGTAAACCGCAGCTAGGCACGCCTCCCTATGTGTGATAGGTGCTGGTGTTTCTCATTTTCCTTTAGTAATGCTGGTCATGACTCACAAAGTTAACCCCACCATCCCCGTGGGTGATAGGGACCCACAGTCAGACAAGCTGTGCTGGTTAAATAGAAGACACTCCATGGAAGTCAGTGTGGACCCCAAGGAGATGACAGAGCTGACAGTTCTGTCAGGGGACATAGGGATGACCAGTCAAATCTGACGAAAAGCTAGTCATCATGGATTCAAGAACTTTAAAGTCGGAGGCAGGAGGATCAGAAGTTCAAGGTCAGCCTGCATCATCAGATAGTAAGGCTGTCTCAAAACCCCATATTTAAACTAAAACCAAGAATTTAGTCAAAAGACATACCATAGTGTCCTCCATTTTTTAAACATTGTGCAGTTATTTTTTTTTTTTTTCTATCAGTCAAGAGTGTATTCAACTTCAGTGTGTTTGGCTACTTATTTTTTTTTTTTACCTATCAATGTATTATGTGACCGCATAAAATATACTCGAAATATGAATTTTAAAGGAGTGACGCGCAAATGAGAGAAGCCGTGTTTTAAATGGCATGCAAGCAGATGCCTTCCTTCTAATGGGTGAATGTCTTACAGCACGCTGCACACGGAAGGAGATCAGGATGGGGCCTCAACAGTGGTTGGCTGTGAGGCTATTTTCAACCTGTGTGGATAATTTTATACGTTTTCTGGGTGTCTAGGAGCTGGCTCAGTTGGTAGGTGCTTGCCCCACATGCCTGGGAGCCTGCATTCAGTCCTAGCATCGCTGAAACTGGGCTTGGTGAGGAAGGCTATATGTTCATGACCCCAGGCCACTAGAGCCCTTTTCATTGGTCCTTAACAAAGCGCCCCACCCTCCTCTCCTGTCCCTTATGTTCAGTATATACTATATAGTATATATAAAATTTATATTTATCTATTATATATTTATTAGTATTATATTTATTGCACATTATATATTTCATTTATAGTATACGTTATATTATAATATACTAATTAATAGTTTATTATATTAATTTGTATATTATATTTTATTATAGATTTTGTCCCTCGTATTTATTATTTATTATATTATGTTGATCAAAGGTTTCCAGTCCTTGTCCTTGTAAGTTAATCTTGATGCCTTCCTATCTCCTGACATAGTACTATGGGGGGGAATGAAGCATATTGCTTTTTGAGTAAATGTTTATTAGCCAGTGGTTATTAGGAACATGGCCAAATTTGCTCTGCCTTCCGAGTTCAGGGCCTTGCCTTGGTGCGTACCTGCCCTGTAGCCCACAGGCAGAAGGCTATGCCGGGATTCAGAGAGGCTTTTAACTGATGTGGTTTGCTGGCCTTCTTCCTGATGGATCACGATGCAACTTCTGGCTGACAGTCAAGTCAGGACTGGAAGGGTCTTCAGTACCATGAGTAATTTCATGAGCTGCTGATGGGCAATTAGGAGTGATTACAGTTAAGAGGCTTTTTTTCTTAATAACCCCAGAAAGGGCTGTTGGTAACTTAAAATCTGGATTCTTTCCCTTGTGAATAGGCTTGTCCAATTCTCATGATTATCTTTTTTTTTTTTAAATAAATCTTTGCAAGTCATCCTTCACCCCTGAAGTCCTAGGAAGAATGTGGAGCACACAATCTTTGAAAACTCTGCCTTTGTGTGAGAGAGGACCCCCCCCCCGACACCTTATAGTCTTGCTTTAAGCATCTTTCTTTCCTGTAAGGAGCAGGGGTTGGCCATCCTCTTCTCCCTCGACTCCCACTGCATTCCCCCAGTCCTCCCAGTTTGCAGGTGAGGAGTTCCACCTACTTAATCTTGCAGTGGTGGCACACTCAAGCGTCACTTTGCTTCTTTTTGGATGAGCGTCGCCGGAACCACCCTTCAATCAGGGCCTCTCTGTACCAGCCACTGGCCAGATATTTCACGTTTCCTTGTTTAGTCCTCATGACCACCTGAGAGAGATCTTGCTTTGTCTTGTTTGTCTCGCACATGCCAAGATCATTTCAAGCTTACCAAGTGGCTGAGGACGGTCTTGAACCCACCACCCAGCGCTAGGATGCTGGCGTGCGAGCCCTGGTTTCCACGGTGGAGCCCAAGCTTCGTGCATGCTGGGTAACTATTCCGCCGGATGAACCATCTCTTTGCCGCTGTTACTTGCAGTGTTTTAGGCACATTTGTTTGTGTGCCGGAAGTCCTGTGTGTGGTAAACAAGAAATTAGCTCTGGGCTATATTCTGAGCCCTAGGCAGTGTTTTTAAAGTGGTTTTATTGAGATATAACTCATATTTCACCAATAATTTAATGGTTTCTGATATATTCTCGGTATTAGTTTTAGTACATTTTAGTCAACCCAGGAACAAATGGGGTACTTCCCCACGAGCGCCTCTCTTCTTGGCTCCACAGCTCCTGGCAGCTCCTCATCGACTCTATGTGTTTTTCTAGCCTCAATACTACTTGTAAAGGGAGTCGTATGATGTGTATTCTTTTGTGTCTGACTTCTTTCATTTAGAGTGCTCTTTTCAAGGTCTACCTGTGCCACAGCTCGTGTCAGGAATTCTGTACTTTTAATGCTTAGGCAAACCTTGTACCATACTATACAGTCGGGAGACTGAAATTGAGACATGACAAGTGACTTTCTCTGGTTGGGTAGCCACTCAGAAGCCACTGGCTTTCCAGTGCAGTTTGCCTAATCCACCCCTACATCACCCCAGAGCCTGAGGACAGCATCCTGAAAGGACTGTACTGATCATCTGCTGTGGATTGGCACATTAGTAACTTGTTTTATTTCTGTGACCAAATATAGAAGCAACTTAAGGGAAGCGTGGTCTGCTGCCATGTTTGAGAGGATATTGTCCATCCAGATAGGGAAGGCATGACCATGACAGAGATTTCATGGTCACATGATGTCTTAGCCAGGGTTTCTGTTGCTGTGAAGAGACACCATGACCACGGCAACTCTTGTAAAGGACAACATTGAGTTGGGGCTGGCTGACAGTTCCAGAGACTTAGTCCATTATCATCTTGGTGGGAAGCATGGGGCTGCCCGGGCAGACATGGTGCTGGAAAAGAAGCTGAGAGTTCTACGTCTTGATCTGCAGGCAGCAGAAGTGAAAAAAGACACTAGGCCTAGCTTGAGCATATAAGACTTCAAAGCCCGCCCCAACTGTGACACACTTCCTCCAGTGAGGCCACACCTCCTCCAGCAAGGCCTCACCTCCTAACAGGCCACTCCCTATGGGCCAAGCTTTCAAACACATGAGCCTATCGGGCCATTCTTATTTGGACCACCACATACAGCGCTCACAGACAGATAAAGATGAATGCTGGTGTTCATTTGGGTTTCTCTGTTTCCTTTGTGCGTTCAGTCTGGGAGCACAGCTCGTGGGTGATGGCACCTACATTCAGGATGGTCATTTTTTCCTCAGTTAAAACTCTCCAGAAATGCTTCCACAGGTATAGTCAGAGGTGTGTTCTCTAGGAGATTCAAATATCCTCAACTTGCCAATGAAGATTAGCTGTCTAATTAGGCCACACTGAGCGTCCTGGAAGGCTCTTTCCTCTTGTTCATTCAGCATCACCTTTCAACTGGGAAACCCTGGTCACCATAACTTCGAAGTGTTATTTTTCTTTTAATATCTTCTATTCTCTCTCTCTCTCTCTCTCTCTCTCTCTCTGTGTGTGTGCGTGTGTGTGTGTGTGTGTGTATGTGTATGTGTTGACAAGGCATACCTTCTGATATCAGAAAACAACTTGTAGGAGTTAGTTTTTTTTTCTTCCACCACGTGGGACCTGAGAATAAAAGTCAGATTGGCAGTCTTAGTGGCAAGTGTCTTAACCTGCTCAGCCATGTTTTTGGCCCTCTCATATTTGTTTAATCCCAGTTTCTTTATCTGTCTGGGCTCTAGAATTTTTCTAAGCAAGTGATGCTAAAATATAACCATGTTTGTTTCTCTAGTTGTTGAAAACCGCTTGAGCCTGCAGAGAACTGGGGACACCTCTGAGGAGCCCTTGCTAGGATCCGCAGCATCATGGTTTTCCATTTCAGAAGCTGTCTCAGGTAAGCAGAAAACCTCTTAAAACCAAAACCAGTAGTGGGGCGTGGCTCTGTGGTGTCAGCTTGCCTATCATGGCCAGGTTCTGGGATCCGTCTATATCTAACTAAATGAGCATATCCTCTTGGCCCAAAATGGAGTTGGTATTTGCGTTTGATTACGTGGCTTCTTAAAGTAACTGGCCTTTAGGTTGTGTGTATCACTGGTATCTGATACCGTCCACGTGGCAGTTGTCTGCAGTCAGAATGTCCTTCCAGTGTAGCCAGTGGCTACACACTGTAGGAAGCAGTCCAGGTCACTTGAGCTGTGCTGTTTTCTGGGAAACTCTGCAACTCAAAATTTGGTCTTAGACAAATAATGGGATCATATCAGTGAGTATTTATTATAACTTATGTAACAGAATTACCCAAGAAACTTGAAAAGTATTGTGGTCTCCTATGACCGCCAGTAATCTTGTTTACACCCCCTTAGCATTTGACATAACCTATCTGGTATCATTAATATCCTTCTCCCTTGTGCTCAAAACGTCCATGAATTTCTACTTTAATTTAAAAGCCCGATTCCCATCTTAAGTATGCATATATGGTAAGGTGGGCAAGTACTGTCTTTTTATCTTGCACATTAGAAAATCAGTTCTCAGAGATACTAAGCATAAGATACTAAGGACACAGACTTGCATAATCTGCAGACTCACAATAAGGGCCCTGGACACTGGAAATGTAATTCATGTTACTGGAATTGTATTTATTTTATTTTATTATTTTTATATTAATTACAGTTTATTCACTTTGTATCCCAGATGTAGCCCCCTTCCTCATTCCCTCCCAATTCCATCCTCCCTCTTTTTTCTCCTCCCTGCTCCTCTCCAATTCCACTGATAAGGGAGGTCCTCCTCTCCTTCCATCTGACCCTAGCCTATCAGGTCTCGTCAGCAGTGGCTGCATTGTCTTCCTCTGTGGCCTAGTAAGGGTGCTCCCCCATTAGGGGGAGGTGGTCAAAGAGCCAGTCATTGAGTTCATGTCAGAGACAGTCCCTGTTCCCATTACTAGGGAAACCCACTCGGACACTGAGCTGCCATGGGCTACATCTGTGCAGGGAATTGTATTTAAACTTAAAAAAAAAAGCTGATAGGGAGCTGGGGCTGAAGCTCAGTTGGTAGGGTGCTTGGGACTCTCATTAGCAAATAAAGGGCATGGTTGCACAAGGCTATAACCCCAGTACTCAGGAAATAGAGTCAGGAGTGACGAGTTCAAGGCCAGCCTGGTCTAATAAACTGATGCATTTTAAAAATTATTTAATCAGGGTCGGTGAGATTGCATTGTAGACCTGATGACCTAAGGCTGGTCACCGGTACCCAGGGTGGGAACAAAAAGCTGACGTCTGAAATGGTGCTCTGAATTCCACGTGATCGCTGTGACATGCACGCTTGTGTGTGGCACGCGTGCACGCACGCACACGCGCACACACACACACACACACACACAAATAATAATGAATAAATATTCAAATTTTATTTCATCAAAATCCTATGTGAGATCTCAATATATAAAATAGACAACAGGATTTTAGTGGTAAAAATGAGCTCTCGAGGTACAAATGTGTAACATTTAAACACATCAGATCAATGGATCTGTTGTAATGAATACCAACATTTGAAGTCAGGATTTCTGGGTGATTCTTGTACGTCTTCCTTGCATTTGCATTGGGCTTATTTAGTGGTTGTTTTAGCTGCACTGTCTCACGAGCATCCTGAACAACCCAAGTATGGTCCAGCAGATGATGACAGTTCTGTGCTGCGGTCACCCTGAGGTTTGGGGTGAGAGTTAAGAGGGTGGAGATCTTCCTGTAGACTGAGAATCAGGACAGAGGGAAGGGAGAACACACTGCTCAGAGCCGCATCCTCAGGCCATCTCAGCCTTGCTTCCGCTCTAGCCGGGCATTAGTCGCAGGTGCTGACAGCGCATGCTAAAAGCGCAAACGGTCTGTAACATGTTATGATGTCACTACATGCGATTGCCCAGCCAGGCGGTAGCATTGCCGAGCAGATGCTTCGGGGCCCATGCCTGGCATTTAACTGACGGTAGTGTTTCAGGGTGCTTTAGTATGTTGTTGCTTGTAACATTTTACATGAGCAGTCGCATGCAGGCTGGAAACCCAAAATCCCACAGGGACCATAAAACTGCGTTGATGACATGGTCCCAGATACATCAGAGGCCAGCAAGAGAGGGCAGAAAAACCTCCCCTTTGATCTGTGTAAATCCAGCCATCAACAGAGCATCTGAAATTAACATTTGGTAATCTTAAAGCTTAATGCTTTAAAATAAAATTTGCCATTTTGTTCTGATGACAGTGTCCTTTGTGTTACTGAGCTTTTCAGTTTCGTGAGGTCCCATTTATTGATTGTTGATCTTAGAGCCTGTGCTGTTGGTGTTCTGTTCAGGAAGTTGTCTCCTGTGCCAATGAGTTCAAGGCTCTTCCTCACTTTTTCTTCTAACAGGTTCAGTGTGTCTGGTTTTATGTTGAAGTCTTTGATCCACTTGGACTTTAGCTTGTGCAGGGTGATAAATATGGATCTATTTGCATTTTTCTACATGTAGACATCCAGTTAGAGCAGCACCATTTGTTGAAGATGCTGTCTTTTTTCCATTGCATGGTTTTGACTTCTTTGTCAAAATGAAGTATCCGTAGGTGTGTGGGTTTGTTTCTGGGTCTTCTATTCGATTCCATTGATCCACCATTCTGTTTCTATGCCAGTACCATGCAGTTTTTTATTACTATTGCTCTGTGTACAGCTTGAGATCAGGGATGTAGATGCCTCCAGACTATCTACACCTAAAGAAGCTAACCAAGAAGGAGGACCCTGGGTAAGATGATCAATCCTCACTCAGAAAGGCAAACGGGACGGACATCAGAAGAGGGAGAAAATGGGGAACAGGACAGGAGCCTACCACAGAGGGCCTCTGAGAGACTCTACCCAGCGAGGTATCGAAGCAGATGATGGGAATCATCTGCCAAACTTTGTGGAGAGTGCAGGGAATCTTATGAAAGAAGGGGGAGATGAAAGACCTGGAGGGGACAGGAGCTCCACAAGGAGAGCAACAGAACAACAACAACAACAACAACAACAAAAAAAAACCAAAAACAAAAACAAAAAAAAACTGGGCCCAGGGGTCTTTTCTGAGACTGATTCTCCAACCAAGGTCCATGCATGGAGATTATCTAGAACCCCTGCACAGATGTAGCCCATGACAGCTCAGTGTCCATGTGGGTTCACTAGTAATGGGAACAAGGACTGTCTCTGATATGAACTGACCCTTTAATCACTTCCCTCTGAGAGGGAGCAGCCTTACCAGGCCACAGAGGAAAACAATGCAGCCAGTCCTGATGAGTCCTGATAGGCTAGGGTCAGATGGAAGGAAAGGAGGACCTCCCCATCAGTGGATTGGGGGAGGGGTATGGGGGGAGAAGAGGGAGGGAGGGTGGGATTGGAAGAGGATGGGAGAGGGGGCTACATCTGGGATACAAAGTGAATAAACTGTGATCAATAATAAATACATTTTTAAAAATTTTAAAAAGAAAATTTGTTTTGAAACAGGTCTTCTATATCCTATGTTGGCCTTGAACTCTCTAAACCAAGGATGACCTTTGAACTTCTGATCTTCCCAATTCCACCTCCAGAGGCTGGGATTGTGTGTGTGCACCACCATGTCTTGGTTATGGAGTGGTGGGAGTCGAATCCGTGACTGTGTGTGCACTGGGCAGTCCTCACACCAGCTGAGGTATCACCCTCAAACCATATGCTATTTCTGAACATACAGCATGTGCCAAACTTATGGAAGATCTCAAAGTTCTGTTGCAGAACCATAGGGGAGTGAGAAATGAAGACAAGCCAGTGGGACCGTTAGTCCTCTTCTGCAAGTGTCACATGGCACTAGGGGACAAGGAAGTAGAAGTTACAGCCAGACACTGAACTGGATGGAAAGAGCAGGCGGAGGACAAGAGGGGGCTCTCTGCCTGGCAAGCTGCTGTCACCAAAAAGGCTCCCCAAAAGACATAGGAGCCTCAAACACTTGACCACCCAGGCTACATAGGCAGAGCAAGTCCCCTTGCTGTTTTTTTCCTTTACATCCTGGAATTTGAATGGATGCCCCTTTTGTGTTGGCCAGAGCATGGTGTGGGATGGTAGTCACTCCTCTCCGAGGAAGGCCTCACAGCAGGCTTGCCTTCTACCTCTGCGCTGGGCATCGGTTCTAAGACATTCCCAACACCTCTGAATTTAGCTTGCTGGGAGCTCCTGGAGGCTGCATGCGGATTTGCTGTGTGGCTGGTGATGCTGTGGAGCTTGGCAGGCCCTGAACAGGGTCCCGAGGCAAAGACTGTTTCGACAGGTCCGCTGTCAGGACGGGAGAAAGAAAATGGGAATTACGTGGGTGGGTGAGGTGATTCTACAGGAGCTTAAACTGAAGCTTTCCATCAAAGCCCCACCCCCATCAGAAGCCAGACATGCATTACCCACTGTGTATCTTTAAAAGTGTGTGTGTGAGAGAGAGACAGAGACAGAGAGACACAGAGACAGAGGTGGGGGGAGATGAAGGGGTCAGAGGACAACTTCTGGGAGTCAGCTCTCCGCTTCCACCATGGGCCTCATCCTGCTTGGCATCACGATGCCTTTAACCCACCCAGCCATCTCACTGGCCCAACCATCGCGTGCACCATGTAATTGTATTTTATCTCCAGGCCCATGTAATTGTATTTTATCTTTTACAAACAAAGCAAACTAAAACAAACAAAACCAAAGCTACAATGCCTTTTGTTGAAATGCTTTCCCAAATGCCCTGGGGGAGAGAGTTTGGATCCAGAGTGAGACATCCCCGACAAAGCTGGTGGAAGAGGAGCAAGCACGGTTCCATATTTATCGGAGCAACCAGATGCGTGAAGATGGATGGGAAGAGTCAAAGGATTTCTCTACCTAGAGAGAAAGCAGGTTGCAGTTAGACGCGTGCTGCCCAGAAAACCTCTGAGACGGGGGTTGATTGAAGGGGATTCACAATTCCCACATGCAGAGATTTAGTTTAAAATCCATCCCCAGTCCCCAGTCTTTGCCAAGCCACAGAACAACAGAAAGTCAACTTCATCCACATCGAAGAGACAGTGAAGCCCCAGAATTAACATAGGCTCCTGCTCTGCTCAGAGTCTGCAGTAATGAAAAGAATTCTAGTCAAAGCCAGTAGTGGGGGACACATGCATTAAGATTTTAACCCTGAAAGAACTGGTTCTTAAATTCCGGATAAGCTCAGATGCACAGGAAAGCTCCAGGATGAGTAAAATCCCTTTGGATAAAAAGGTCGGAGGAAGCTAGATAAATCAAATTTGTCTACATGTATTACCAATCAGCAAGAAAATGTCCCAAGTGGCACAGAAGTGTTGTATTTCTTAAAGACTTCAAATAACATGCCCCGTGTGTATATGCATTTGTGTGTGTTGTGTGGTATATGTGAGTGTGCATGTTCATGATCACATGTTTGTGTCCACCCGTGCATTCACGTGTGCATATGTGTGTGGCGAATGCATGTGAAGGTCAGAGGTCTAATCCAGGCATCTTCTCTTAGAGACAGGGTGTCTTGCTGAACCTGGGGCTCACTGAGTCCCTATACTGACTGGCCAGGCAAGCCTGAGGGGTCCTCCACTCTCCACCACCCCCCTCCCAGAACTAGGATTACAGTTCCGTGCTGCTGTGTTCCCATACCGGGGCTTTTACATGGACTCTGGGGATATGAACCCAGGTCCTTATGCTTGCATAGCAAGCACTTTACTGAATGAGCCATCTCTCTAGCACCATTATATCTGCCTTTGTTTGAAGAGAGGGAACAAGGTGGAGGTGGAGGCATAAAAGGGTGAAGACCAGACCTGGAGAAACCAAGGGAGAAAGGACTGAAGGCCTGTAGAGAAAAGAGAAACTGAGGGTGGGGTATCTCCGTGACAGGCTGGAAACCTAAGACAGCGTAGGTTCCTGGGAGGATGTGAGGGGGACTCAAGCAGAGACTCCTAGTAGCAGAGGCCACAGAGACTGAAGAGAACACCCTCTACCTAGACTAGTCTCCCAGCAGAGGGAGGGGAACACCGACCCACCCACAAAAACTTTGACCCCAAATTTACCTTGCCTACAAGATGAGCAGAGATAAAGATAGAGAGAGCAGAGAGAGCAGACATTGAGGGAATGTCCAGCCAATGCCTGGCCCAACCAAAGACCCATCCTATGGGAGGGTGCCAACCCCTGACACTATGAACAATACTCTGCTAACCTTGCAGACAGGAGCCTGTCAGAGTTGTTTTCTGAGAGGCACTACCCAGCAGCGCCTCAAAACAGATGCTGAGACTCACAGCCAAACACTGGGCAATGAGTAGGGAGTCTTGTGGAAAAATGAGAGGAAAGAGAAAAGGACCTGGAGGTGACAGGAGCTCCACAGGAAGAACAGAGCCAACTAACCAGGGCCCAGAGGGCTTGCTGAGACTGAAGCACTGACCAAGGACCATGCCTGAACTGGACCTAGGCGCCCTACAAAGATGTAGCAGATGGGCAGCTCAGGCTTCATGTGGGTCCTCTAGTGAGGGAAATGGGGACTGCATTGGACATGGACTCACTTGCCAGCTTTTTAATCACTTTCCCCTGCTGGGACTATGTTGCCAGGCCACCAGGGAAGAGGACATGCTCAGTCCTGATGCAACTTGATGAACTGGGCTAGATGGGAAAGGGAGCTCCCCTTTTCTGAGAATTAAGCAAGGGGGGAGGAGAGAGGGAGGAAGAATGGAACTGGCAAGGGAGGAGGGATGGAGCTACAGCCAGGATGTAAAGTGAATAAAAAAATAAATAAATAAATTTAAAAAAAGAAAGGAAACAAGATTTTCTCACAGGGAATCTTAGCAATCCATGACGAGATAGTCAGCTGACATCACCAGCCAGAGCCACTCCCACCCCCAGCCTAGGAGTGGCAGGTGCTCTCCCTCACTTCTCAGCACCTTAGCAGAGCTGACAAGCTTCACGTTTCCAATGAAAACATAAGCGGAAACAAAGCTACTAAATGCCAAGGAGGTGGTTACATTGGCAGGAAATAGAATTGATTTGGCCGTTTTTATTTTGAACGGTAGTTTTTGAAAAGATGCAGATGTAATTAGGGTCATTACAGCTAGATGGTGAATTTTATAGGTCTTATGGAGGAGAGGTCTGGATCATTTTAAGGATTTTACAGTCCATGGCCTTAGGTCAAGTGTCTGGTTTTAGTCTTTGAAAACATTAGTCTCTCTTTTCCTTGATATATACTCCAGTAAAGTATTATTACTTTAATGCCTGTCAGCCATTCCACTTAGATATACAACCAAAAGGGATTGAGGAAATGAGAGTGAGGAGGGTGGCTGCTCTTGGGGCCACTGAAAAGGACCCTGAGGACAGATGTGAGGGGAAGTGGGCTCAGAGAACTCTTTGCCTGTGTGTGGGAGTGTCCAAGATAGGGTTGGCTATTTGAGGTGCAGTCAGTAAACACTACAGTCTCCCCCAGGGTGAAGAAATACTTGGCATTCAGAAAGGTCAGGGGTCAATCACTGTCCCTTTGCTAGAGCTCAGGAAATAAGGAGGAAAAAGGGGATGGGGGGGTAGAGAAGAGAAGAAAGATGAAGTGAAGAAAAAGAAAAGAGGCCACTGAGTCAAATATTTAACTTTCCTAGTATTTCTAAGACAGGCCAGCCAGGCATGGTTATTATAGGCAGCTATCTATAATTCTGGTACTGGGGAGGCTGAGGCAAGAGGGCAGAGAGCTAAAGGTATTAATGAGACCTTGTCTTAAACACAACCCCAAACAAGCAAGACAGATGAAAAGTCAGGCCAGGATTTGTGTGAGCTGCAGCCGCCACGACTGGGTGACATTCAGTCCATACATCAGAGTATCAGATGAGTGGCAGGCCGGCCATGCAACCCGTAGCCCGTCTGACCAGGAACCTTAAAATGGACCATTGAACACATGAAGTAATAATTATCTTTTAGATGAGAGAAATTAGGACAAAGCTTTATATTCCTGACCAGGATGATCAGTGACTTAATCACAGAAGTAGGTTGACGTGTGGAAGCCATACGAATGACATATAGTTTACTTTAAACTTAAAACACATGTACATTCGCGCACAGTGTTTTGATGTGGGGCCAAGAGCGTTTCTGTGTGCACGAGCCCTGATTGTCTTTTTCTGCACAAACCCCACCCTGCAAGCATTATCCGAGGTTTCCACTTTAAAGCCGGGTGAGAACTTAAAGACACTCACAAAGCGGTCTGAGGACAGACTTATTCTGGGTTTTACAGGTTTCTTTTCTGCCCCTAATCATCTGCACTTATCTCATCCACACCTAATTTGCCAGCAGCTGCCTCCCCCTTGGCCGCCTGCCCTTACTGAATCTTTCCACAGCATTCAGCTCACTTTTGTAGAGACACCATCAGCTACCCCTGCTGTGCTCTGGCTCACGGCTCCCTCAGCCGCGTGGGTATTCTGTGCATTCACAGAGCAGTGCTACCCAGGTAAACAGGTTTGGGAACCTGGGCTTGAGAGTGCCACTATGCTGATGGGGAGGTGAAGACGCATGTCCAGGAAGACCTACTAGACTCTCATCGGTGGAGTTCTGGTGGGAGCCATCTGAACGGCAGGCAGAGAGGCCAGAGGAAATCAAATGAATTTCTGGAGGTGCGCCCTGGCAAGGCCTACCTATAAAATGACGGCAGGCATCCAGACAGGATTGATT